AGCGGTTATTTGGGTTTTGGTCTTGGTTTGTTTATTTGGTTTGGCTTTGGTTTTGGCTTTGGTTTCGGTTTTGGTTTGCAGTACTAGAAAATGAACCCAGGACCTTCACACTGAGCTATATCCCCAATCTCTTTTTTAATTATTTATTTTCAGACAAAATTTCATGAAGTCACTAAATTGCCCAGGCTAGGATTAAATTCATGATCCTCCTGCCTTAGTCTCTTAAAGTTCACTGAAGTAATTTTAAGAGGAAAAATGTATGTTCTTTTCATCAGCTTTACTTAAAAACTAAGCAATTGGGCTTTATATATATTCTCCCAGAATATACCTTTAACCAACAGAAAAGAGTATATAAAAATGTAAATATAAAGCCAAGTGTGGTGGCGCATGCCTGTAATTCCAGCATTCGGGAGGCTGAGGCAGGAGGATCCTTGCAAATTTAAGACCAGCCCCGGCTACAAAATAAGCTTAAGGCCAGCCTGAACTTCATAGTAAGACCCTGTCTCAAAAAGACAAAAAAAAATTTAAATATCATAAATTAAACTCATGGCAGTCTCAAGTATGGATTATTTTTATGCAATATAGTATTTTTAAGAAAAAAGAGGCATAAACTAAGAAGCATACAGTAGAAGGAATTTCTGAGCTTGGATGGAAATTACTGTCTACTGTTGTTCCTCCCACTGTATCACAAGGGAAAGGTAGAAGGCTGGAGAGGATAGGGAGCAACCAACACAGCTCAATCCATTACTGAAGTCACTTGAGAACAGCAGTCTTGGTGAATAAAGTAATCCGTTATTCAAAAACAGAAGAGTTCACCTTTAGGGCTCTGAATTGCCTCTGACACCTGCATTTTATTAAAAGTACAAGTACAAAGCATGCAATTCTCTCACCATTCCTGTCACTTTTATATAAGGTCTCGTTGTTATGTGTGTGGGGGGGGTGCTGAGGCTCAAACCCCAAGGGGCCTTCTACTACTGAGTTATATCCCCAGCCCTTTATATTCTTCTTATTTTGAGACAGGATCTCACTAAATTGCCCAATCTGGGCTTGAACTTGCGATCCTTCTGCCTCAACTTCCCTCAGTGCTACCGGCATGTGCTACCTCACCCAGTGCATTACATTCTTAATTCAGAAAAGGAAGTTGGTTCCTGTCCTAAAGCCATTAAGACATGGTATTTCTAAAAGCCACAAAAAGTTCATCAATACCATAAAAAAGATGACAATTGTTTTATGTTTCACATTATTATGATCATTATTTTGTAGTTACTAGTTATTGATCCTTTACTGTGATCAAGTCTTAATAAAACAAAACCACTGGTTAACCTTTATGGCAGTTTTATGTGCCTTTACTCCTTATGAATGTAGTCTACTCAGGCATGTAGAATTAACTAGAAAACTCAGGCTGGGTTCCAGCCCCCAGTTATCCTGCTGGCCACACATCCTTGCAGGCATTTTTGTTGGCCTTGTTGTGAAGCCTAAACCCTCTAGAGAGGGAGGAACTGAAGCTCAGTGGAGTTAACTAACTTGCCAAAGACCAGTAAGCTGGTACGGGGCAGACTGTGGGCTTGAATACAGGTGTGGCTCCAAAAGCAGTGCCCTTACCCCATAAACTGTAGGCCGACATCAGAGAAAGCCTTTGTACCGTCCTGTCTGACCTATTATAATATGCCATGAACGCACCATTCTATGTTCAAATTCATTATAATTAGTTAAAAACATATTCAGAATCACATTATATCTTAGAATAAGATGTAGAGTCTGAATTATTAAATTCTTATGCTTTTGAGATAAAAGAGAAATTGGACCCTCTTTATATTACACCACAAAGCATTGGATTCCACTCTGCCTGATGCCCACGGTTCCTTAGGATTGGCCTCTCCTAAGATGCCACACCTCATCTCTTACCTTTCCTTCTCCCACCCAGTATTTGAATCTGCTCTGAGGAAAAATACAGTAGCTAACTCCCTATGCCAGATCCAGAAAATCCACGTGCTTCCATATCACCTAAGTCAATCGTTATTCCACATCCTCTTAGGTATCAGAACTACTTCAAATGTTTGAGTAAATATGAAAGACAGAGAAATGAAAAATGCACTGTCATTAAACAACATGGCATTAAATCAGCTCATTGGTAAACCCCGGCACAAATGCAAAGCAATTATGAACTGTGAACAAAGTCATTAATAAAAGTGGGGGGAAGACATAGTGCTTCGTGCTTTGTCACATGCTACTGTGCTCCCATACACTGCCTTAGTTTGATTTTGGACCTCCGAACATCCCTGAGGAGCAGGAGAAGGCTATTGTTGTTTTCCTCCAGTTGATCAGAGAACTGCAGTTGAGAGGACTCGAATCTAAATCTTCTGACGTCATATTCAAGATCTTCGAACATTACACTTAGATTAGCAATTTCTTTCTGATGTGAAATATGGACCACGGGTGTTTTTAAATCTAACTTTTTGCTTAGGATTTTGTTGTTTTGTTTAGTTTCCTTTTTAATTGTTTTTGCCCTTTTTCACCTTGGATCGCCTCTGGAAAATTTCTTTCCTCCCAGGTGGGCTTTTACTTCCTTGAGACTGTGCTGTTTGCTGCTGCTGAAACCCCAGCCTAGGTGGACAGCACTGAGGCTGCTCCTGCCCTCGGAGTCTGTGTCACACGGAGAAAGACGAGGTGCCAGGCGTGCCTTCATTCACTGCAAAGTGTGGAGGTGCCACAAAAGAGCAGCCACTAAGTTCAGGGAAAATTTGGATTTGTAGAGAGCATGACTAGTTTTAAGAATGCTCTGAGTTAGATGGTGCCTAGTAAGGCAAAGAGAACAGTGAAACAGTTTTATTGATATTGAATGTCAGCTAGAACATCTTGAGTTCCTGCTTCCTCCGCACACTGCTCTGCACAGTATTACCCACCACAGAGCTTCCGGAAGAGGGGAGCCACTTCTCATCACTGAGATCTCAAATCAAACGTCACCTCAAATACCCAACTTTTCCTCAAGGCTTAAATGCATGTGTACCAAGTAACTCACTCCCTTTTTCACTTTCATCATAGCCCTTATCAGTACTTAACAAGATATTTGATTTGTGTTTCCCATTCTTTGCCTTAATTTGAAGTTGGCACTTGTTATGGCTTGGATTCAGTCATGAGAGGGGCTTTTCAGAGGTGTCTGGATGGTGTGTGATGCTGAGATAAAGGGTGCATGATTACTCAGTTAGCCTGCTCATTGGCTTAGCATGGTTCTGGATGTGGACAGTGGGAAGTCCCACTTTGGCTGTGAATGACGTCACCCAAAAGGTGGGTAGCCTAGAAGGGATAAAAGGGAGAGGCAGGCTGCTGCTGCTGTAGCTGCCGTTTGCTGCTTCATTGTCTCTTGCCTGCTTGCCATGGACTGTTTCTCCTCTGTGATGCACCTGTTCCATGCTGCCCTGCCTTGGAGCCAGACGACTGTGGACTGAAACCTCTACAAACTATGAGCTGAAGGAAACCTTTCCTCCTTTAACTTTGGGCATTGGGTATTTAGTCTAAGCAATGAGAAAAATAAATAAGACAACACTAGACCACTAATCGCATGGTTGTCACACAATATGAAACAACAAAGGAAGAAGAAAACAACCCAAGCCAACCTTAATACAACTTGGTTTATGAAAACTACATGCTTCATTCTTCTTATCCTGAAAATGCTCTGATAAAATGAACAGCCCTTTTGTCTGAAGTCGTTATTTGACCTTCACTAGCAAAAATTTTGACAGTGTAGAAGAGACAGGTTATATTCATATGGTCATGGCAGACATTGTTCAGATTTTTTCCAAAGTGATAAAAAAATTCATTAATTTCAAGATATTACAAAAATTGAACATAAATGAATACCAGCACATATTGTCCTACTACAAATGGATTTTTCCTCTAGACTGAAGTCAGATGCTCTAATATAAATTTGAAGAGTAAATCTTGTATAGTTGGTAAAAGGAGTGAAATTCTTTAATTTAGCATCTCAACTTCTGATATTGAATGGATCTTCCCATTCTATGGTTATATGCAATCATATGTACTCTGCTTGTGTATAAAATTAAGCCATTCATGCAACATATATTCATAGATTCCATTATTGTCAGGCACTGTGTTATATTCCTGGTGACTCAACAGTGAAAAAAGCAAAGACCCTGCCTTTGTGAAGCTCTTTATTTAATGAAAAAGACATTGATCAAATTACAAAAGATACCTGATATAAAAGCAAACATACCATGTTCTATGTCTGCAAATAAAAGGAAGCTACTCTGGCCTGAGTTTGTGAAAGGTTTCCCAAAGGAAGCATTTTGAGGTAAAATAAATGCTCCATTGTTGACTAGGGGAAGATGAGAATGTATAGAGGAGAAAGAGAATTTAAGTATTTCAGAGTGAAAATAACTGCAAAAGAGTTGGGTATACTGTGAAGTATTTCCCTTTGCAGCTTTATGGAGCAGCTTCAGGAAAACATCTTTGGGAACACTTCATTGACTTTTGCTGCCAGTTAGCTAAATATAGTAGGTTTATTATTAAACTATATTTCTAAGTAGTTCATGTGACATAAAACATTAAATGTTTTCTATTCCTTAGATACTAGCAACATCAATAGTAGGAATGAGCTCATGGCATACTAATTTATGTGAAGAATTCAAATTTGTTCTAAACTAATTTAGTTATTCTAATCTAAGGAACAGAGTATCATAAAACAAAAAATTCAAGGAGCACAGAAAGCCAAATACCTGGATTCACCTAAATACTGCTAACCAGAGGCTGTTTCCATGAACTAATTGCTTTTGAAAATCTCAATGAAGACTTTCAGTACTTTCTCACTTTTCAGTCTGAATTGTGCATTCTTTTAGGGACAAAGGGAGAAAGGTTAACCGAAGTCACAATTTATTAGTCCACATTTCAATTATGCTTATAGAATCTGGCTCACTGTACAATTCTCACTTTTGATCACTTGTCAAATCTATAATGGAAAATAAATGGTTTAATCATTCTGTTACCTTCAACAGTTGTAAATCAAGATGGCCAGCCTCTCATAGAGGGAAAGCTTAAAGAGAAGCAAGTCAGGTGGAAGTTCATCAAACGGTGGAAAACTCGTTATTTTACACTGGCTGGAAATCAACTTCTGTTTCAAAAAGGAAAATCTGTAAGTTTGTCTGTTCTCTTTTATACTTGATTTTTTTTTAAGGTCTTGATCTTACAAATTGGGAGATATTTTGTCTTGAGTTAAAACTCTGGTAATTTTTTCTCTTCTATTTTATAATCTCAGAATAGTAATTTGTTATAAATATCCCTTTGTTTACTCTGTTAAGTCCTCTGTTGGCTCACTCTCCTTCTTCAGTTTATTATTTAAACATTAAACATTTTCAGTTGACTTAAATTTTAGAAGCTGGACTGTAGAATAACTATTTTGTGGTCTCAACTCAAATATTATGTTTTGTTTTCTGATGGACCACCCACTTAAATTTTTGGTTTATAATATTGACTTTGATTTTAAAAATATGTATAGGTTATATTCGGGGCTGGAAACCCGAGGAAGGGGTATAGTACACAGAGGGAAGGAGTGAAGGTGGATTTATTTTTAGCGCCTTCTAGAATCAGCAAAGCTCAGTTTTGTTAGGGAAAGGTATTATTATCTTTCATTCATTTGGTTCTCAGCTAATGAGTAGGATAAAATTATAATAGAATTAATCAGTATTAATTTAATATAATTTCCAATCCAAACTAAAATACTCAGTAAATATCTAGATTCTGAATTTTCAGTAGGATTCCTCTGAAATAGCACTTCATTCCAACCAGCAATGCAAAGTTATCCCTTTTTATTCTTTTCAAAATAGTATTTACTATTAAATTCTACTCATTCAAGATCAGGGGGAATAAGATCTTGAACCACTTCTTAGATATTTTGATATACAATCATAATAATGAGCATTTATTCAGTGTTTGTTATGTGCCACCCTGGATTGCCTCAAACAATGCTCAGATCAGTCTGAGGCTGGCACTATTATGATAGGCTGCCACTTTATAGATGAGAAATTTGAGGCTCAAAGAGTTTAACTGGCTTATCATGGGACAGCACCAATCAAGTGAGGAAAGGAAATCTGGAGTCAAGCTCAGGCAATATGATGTCACAGCATGTTCCTAAACGAGAATACTCCACTACTTCCACATACATTTAAAATACAGAGTCAGTGGTAAACTATATTAGCAATCTCTGAAGAACCAGAGCCAATAGAGTATACAATCCCTTTTTTTGTTTTTTGTTTTTCTCCAGTATCAGGAATTGAACTCACAACCTTGCGCTTGCTAGGCAGGTGCTGTGCCGCTGCGCTAAATCCCCAGGCCCAGAGCCAATAGAATATATACATATATATGTGTATATATATAGGGAGAGAGAGAGAGAAGGGATTTTTACAGGAATTAGCTCACGCAGTAACAGAGATTGAGAAGTTCCACAATAGGCCACCAGCAACCTGGAGAAACAGGGAAACTGATGGTACAATTCAGTCCAATTCCTGAGTGGCTGAAAACCAGGAGAATCAGTGGTGCACTTCACACTCTGTAGCCAAAAGCCTAGGAGTAGAGATGGGGGTAGAAGAGAGTTTAGCGTAAGTCCTAGAGTCCAAAGGCCCAGGGAACAGGAGATCGGATGTTAAGGCCAGGAGAAAAGACGTATCAGCTCAAGTAGAGGAAGTAAATTTGTCCTGTTGCATTTTGGCTCTACCCAGGCTCCCAGTGGTGCCCACCCACACTGCAAGAGCGGATCTTCTTTACTCAGTCCGTGGATTTAAACATTAGTCTCTTCTGGAAACACCCTTATGGACATACTCAGAAATGAAATTTCAACAGCTATCTGGGCACCTGTATATCAGCCCAAGTTGATATGTAAACTTAACCATCATATAAAACAAACTGTAATTAACGAAAGGTGTTACAATAATTAAAAGTTACAGTTCACTCTGGGCATATTACCACATGTTTAGCATTCTCAACTTATTTGAATGTCTTAGTAACAGGAATCAAGTATAATGCATCTGAACTATGGCAACATGTGAGAAGAGCTTCAATTAACAAAACTTTCTGTTAACTTTTTAAATGAAACAATATTTTTGTGACACTTTGAACTCATGTTGCGTTCTTCATGTGCATTATACCCCAGAGATGGGCTTTCCTGTGGTAGAAGACCTTCTGTAATGGAGGTATAATAACAAGCTAAATATAAATAATTATTAACGATTTAAAGAAATATCTTTAACGTAGGTTCACATGGAAGCATTTTTTAAATATTTAAATCAACCATTTCAATTTCCTGTATTTATTCAAGAAATTAGGAATGGGAGTGAAGATGTTATGATTTCTCAGATCCCTTAAGACAAAACAGAGTTAATCTGTGAGAATATTTTTCAGAACTTAAATAATACCCTGTATACTTCTTAATTCGGGGCTTTTTAGTAAGGTTTAAAGAATATGCTATTTTAAAATTAGCTGACTTATTTGAATCTTTATCAGGGAATAATGGTTTGGCATGCAGAAATCTGACAGGCTCTGGCTCAAATAGTGGGAAACAGTATAGTTTGAAGGGCTGTAGCAAAATACCTCAAACCTTCAGGGACACAATAATCAGCAAGTGGTCAGCAGTCCTACTGAAGTCCCTTTCAAATAAGAGAAATGTGCATTTTTAAGTGAAAACTGTGGCTGAAAGACTATAGTATAATTTTTTACTTTTGCATTCCTAAGGTCTCAATCTCCGCCACCCAACTAGGCAACCATATACTTTGATTTTCTATATGTTACTATCTTAGTTGATTCCCTTTTCCTCTTTAGATTTCTTTTATTTTCTTTCTTTTTTCTTTTGTCTTTTTGAGACAGGGTCTCGCTATGCAGTTCAGGCTGGTCTTGAACTCAAGGCCCAGGTTGGCCTTGAACTTGCAACGATCCTCCTGCCTCAGCCTCCTGAGTGCTGGGATTGCAAGCATGCGCCACCACACGCAGCTGCTCTTTACATTTCTATGACAACATTTTAATTTCTTCTTTATACTACAAGTTAATTTGAAGAAATAGTTTCTTTTTACTGTGAAATGCTTAATATAAAACAAAGGCTGTTAAAGCCTTGTCTAGTGTAGATATCTTCAAATTTTATTCTATATGTCCCTTAGAAGGATTTTGAGAAATACAGTGAATACCCTGCAACATTTTAAGTTGCATCAATACCTTCACTCTAAGTTTAAACAGTTGCACAAACTGAAATTTCTGTTAAATCATAAATATTAATACTTTAAAATAAAAAGATCAAATCTGCTCTTTAACAGTAGTTATTGGAATAAAACACCATAGCACTTTTATATATACTACCATTCATTTTTCTAAAAATTAACTGTTCTTTAATAGAAATATTTAGCTTTTTTCTTGAAATCATATTTCCATTTGTCTCTCCACATTATTTTATTTAAATTGCCCAACTATTTTTCATTGTAATAGAAACATTCATATAAATTGAAATTTGTTTTACCTTCTTGTGACCATCAGTCTCTAAGTATCAAGATTTTTCTGATTATGGTATCTTTTTAAATGACTATGCAATTCATAAAAATCCATTAGTACGATAGCACATTTAACAGATAATTATTAAACACTGAAAAGGGAAATGGAATATCTTAATGAAATGGGTATAGAGTAATTAAATTGTCTTGGATGAGGGATACTTCCCTGACATCCATGTGTTAAATTGTCTGTTTGTTTGTTTGTTTGTTGCTCTTGACAACCAGACAGTGCACCATAAGAAGTTTGGGATGGGTAGAAGGGTGCCTTTTCATTGCAAAGTAAAAGAGTAGTTGTAAAAAGAGGTATGGGAAAGAATAATTGGCAAGATTCTCAATCACAGTTACATTCTCTAGTAGACAAGAAGTATTCAGGGATATTTAAGACCTAAAATTACTTTAAAGGAGCATTTAATTGCCTTAGAACCATCCACACGAACCTAGAGTGATGACATTGCTGTCGCAGAGATCCTTAAACCTCTGCTTTTATAAAAGATAAACATAACCTCATTAAATAATCCTTCACAGTGCATTTGTAAACAAAGTGTTCTTCCGAAACTGCAGGGATTTCAAAAAAGTTTCATCTACTCAAACATTGGAACCCTTTTTATTTAATTAAGGGCATGGAAAATACTTTCTCAGAAATAGAACAAAGGCAAAGCTAATGTTGTACCTCCTATACTATCTGGAATTCTGAGTTAATTGTACTCCAAATTGTACTGCTGTCTTTTGCTCTCTTAATACAATGTTATATCAATAGAAAATCAACAAAAAACTGTGACTTAAGTATTTTCCCACTTCCACTTGTAATAACTTTGTATAAAATTACTAACTTGCATCAAAATACGTCTTACTCCTTAGTTGTTCTAATGACTCTTTGACCCTTAGCACCCAGAATAACCAAGATCTTGAGCCATAAGAAGTAAATGATCTGGCTGTCTTAGAAAATTCCCCAGTAGCCAGAGACCTGGAGCGAGCTCATGTTTTTTCCTTCCCCTGCTTTTCAGAAAGACGATCCTGATGAGTCTCCAATAGAACTCAGCAAAGTACAAAGTGTGAAAGTGGTAGCCAAGAAACGCAGGGACCGCTCTCTCCCTCGGGCTTTTGAAATCTTCACAGACAATAAAACCTACATTTTCAAGGCCAAAGATGAGAAGAATGCAGAAGAATGGCTGCAGTGCATCAACGTGGCAGTTGCTCAGGCAAAAGAGAGGGAAAGTAGAGAAGTGACCACGTATCTGTAGGGATTTGCATCCTGGCCTCGTGTGACTATGCATAACAGGAATTGCTAATGTCAAAAGAGCAATCCTCAAACCATACTGTTTTCCACTAAATACCAGTGCAATCATCTCTTAAGAAGAAGGGCCTAAGACACCAGGCTTCTCCACAGAGTTCAGGCCCTAACAGTGGTCGGAAGCAAACACGGAAGAGGAGCTAGAGTGCGCCCTCAGCTGGCGTGGGGCCAGACAGCGAAGCTGTGAATGAAGGGACTTCGGTAGATATGCCATTTAAAACTGTCGGAAAACAACTTTAAGGGATCCATGAGCTACTTATTCTGAGGAAGGACTGTTATTTCCGATAATAATCAGTCTGTCGAGGGTATTTTTAAAAATAACTAGCTAGAAAAGTTTAATTAATGTGCAATGAATAAAACCACTTACTTACAGATATTACATAACATTGATATTCTCTACACAAATGCCACTAACATGTGGTAAAAATGGTTCTCAAATTAAGCCATTCATAGAATTAAATGTCTGCCTTTCATAGTAATGTATTTAATTATTCCTTTTAGTATAGTCTAAAATTTAGACAGTTGGATATATCTCCCACCCAAAACAGTAACTGTAAGATGGGACAAGCATAGAAAGTAATTTTTTCCGTCTTTCAAATGTATGTCTTTTCCATTAAACATGAGGACTTCAAAGTAAAGCTTTGTATTTTTCTTCTTTGTATTCAGCTTTGTAGTACGTACAAATTACATTTTGCATGTATATATTTAAAGCTATTAAAGGCAGAAGGCAGAATTCTAGGGTGACTTCCAGCAGCTCATTCCCTGGTATAATGCTCCATCACTTGAGTGCCAGTAGGATCTGAGACTTGCTTCTAACCGGGAGAATCCAAGAAACGCAATGGGACAGCCTCTCCCAGTACTGTGTTACATTATGGCAAAATGTAATCAATGTTCTCAATCAGCTGCTCTTGAGCAAATCAAAAAGGTAGTGTCTGAACAGGCCTGAAGTAATCCAGTAAGTTCTTTAAAAGACAGTAAGAAAGTCAGAATCTCACCTACTGTCTTTGAAAAGTCATCTTTGACAAAGGTGCCAAACACATTCATTGAAAGAAAGATAGCCTCTTCAATAAACAGTACTGCAAAAACTGGCTTTGCACATGCTGAAGATTAAAATTGGACCCTTATCTTTCACTTATCACTAAACTAAATTCAAAATGGATCAAAGATCTAAACATTAAAAGAGAAACATTAAATCTGCTGGAAGACAGAACACGTAAAACTCTTGAAGACACTGGTGTAAATAAAGACTATGAATAAAACCCTGAACACCCAGGAACTATCACAGAGAACCAACAACTGGAATCTCATCTTATTAGAAAGCTTTTGCACGGCAAGAGAAACTACCCAGCAGAGTGAAGAGACAACCCATAATGTAGGAAAAAATATTTGCCAGCTGTTCCTCAGACAAAGGCTTACTATTAAGAACCTACAAAGAACTTAAAAAATCAGACCCCCCAAATTTAAAGACCCAATCCAAAACTGGGCATATGAGATGAATACACACTTCTCAGGTGAAGAAATAAAAGCAGCAAATAAATATATGAAAAAATGTTCAACATCCCTGGTCATTTGAGAGATGAAAATTTAAACAATAGTGAGATTCCATTTCACCCCAGAAGGAATGGCTATTATCAAGAAATCAACCAATAACAAATGCTGGAGGGGCTGTGGGGGAAAAGGAACCCTTTTCCATTGTTGGTAGGAATGTAGACTGGTGCAACCATTATGGAAATCAGTGTGGAGATTCCTCAAAAAAATAAGATTGGAGGTCCTATTTGACCTGGCTATTCCCCTTCTGGATACCTTCCCAAAAGAATTAAAGACATCATACCACAATGATGTATGTGCACCTATTTTTATAGCAGCACAACTTGTAATAGCTGGATCTTGGAAACAACCCAAATGCCCACTGAAGTGGAATGGATAAAAAAAGATGTGATCTTTTTATAAAATGGAGTACTCCTCAGTCATAAAGGATAAACTGAAGACTTTTATACATAAATGGATGCAACTCACGCCCACACACATAAGTGCAATATACCAGACTCACATGTGTAAACATCATATTGTCTTCCTGGTGTGAGAAGCTGAAAAACTAAATAAGATGCAAAATGTACAATAGATATTGTGAAATGGGAAGAAACTGTTCAAAAGGAAAGAGAAACTGGGATGAGGAAAAGCAGAAAAGAAGAAAGGTAAAAGAAAAAATATATATATATATACACACACACAACATAGTTTTACTACTAATTTCTCTTAGTTCATTGAAAAGAAAGGTTTGTGCTAATATTGCTTGGACAATTATATTCCTATGTCTTGTACTCTGAGTAACTAATTTAAAGATGGCAATATGCAGTGTATTAACCACTGCTACTCTCCTATTATTTTGTTTTGAAATTTTGTGGGTTTTTTCCTTTAAAATAACATTTTTAAAATGTCATGCTGCCATACGTTCTACAGCTGCAGGAAATGGATTTTGCCAGCAACCATATGATCTTAGAAGGTGACTCCAAACCTCAGACAGGAGCCTCCCCCAAGCCACCGTCTTGACTGCAGCTTTGTGGAATCCTGAGCAGAGGACTCATTTTAGCCATGCCTCCCCTCTTGGACTACAGAAACTCTGAGATAATATGCTGCTTTAAACAGCTAAATTTATGTAATTTGGTTTCATTGGTAACTAAAGCTCACTTGGAATATATACAGGATATAAATTTCCCTTGAAATGTGTTTATCATGTCATCTAGTACAGAAACCTGGCAAAAGATTGTAGTCAATACCCTGACCCTTCTGCTAATTCACTGGGAAAGGACATATACAAGGAGTCATGGCTGAGGAGAAAAAAACAGAATTCAATTTTGCCATGTAAGGTTTGAGGGTATTGTGTGTCACAGCAGTTGCTACACATTTGAAATAAAATTGTGGAAGCAAAATTTGAGTACACTGGGTATGTAAGTACTTGTGAAAGATACAGAATTAGATGGAGTTACCCAGGAAGAGTAAGGAACTAAAGAATTACAAAGACCTTTTGGAACACCAGCCTTAAGCAAAGTCATGATGGGTTAGCTGATTAGTGTTCAGAGATGACACAACTTTCGCACATGATGTCACAAAATCCAAATTAATAAGGATTTCCAGGAAAAGGGGAAAGGTGAACAATTTGTAACGCTTGACTTTCACAATTAGGAAGTAACCGATGTCATGAGTAAGAACAGTTTCGCTAGAGCTATGAAGTAAAAGTCAGATTTCAGTGCAATGAAGAATTAACGGGAGCATAAGAAATTGGAAGCAATAATTGACTACACTTTCCAAAAGATGGGCCTAAGGTGAAAGGGTGAAGAAGGTGATGTGCTTTCTTGTTTGTTTCTAAGATGAAGAGTCTTAAGAAAAGAGAAAGCAGGGGGTATAACTGCTTGGGCAAAGTTTGCTGACATAACAGAAAAAGATGAAACCTCCTATATTTGGCAGCAATTGATGGAGCACCTACTTAGCGCTGGGTATCATCTGTACCATGGAGATTCAAAAATAAAAACACAGCTCTCTCTGCAAGGAGTTCAAATTTGCAGTGGAGGAGACACACATGTATTACAAAAATGAAGATGCAAATAGAAGGCTGCCTGTGTGATCTTCCAAGTTATCTGGAAGGATGAGTGAGTGCCTGGAAGATTACACAGGAAGCCCTCTACAGGCCCTTTATCCGTGCTATGCGGTGATTGTATGTGAATGGTCACATTGTGAAAATTCATGGGCTCCGTATTTAGTTTTGTGTTCTCTTCTACAAGCCTATTATATTTTGAAAACAAAATTTTTTTTAGTAAAAAGATAAAAGGAAATTCCAGATGCTGAATAAGGAAGTACCAAGTAGTAATGTAGGAAGGGAACAAGAGAGTCTGAATACGACTTCTTGAGGGCCAGGGATGCAGCTCAGCAGCACAAGTGCCTGCCTGGCAAGCGTAAGGTCCTGAGTTTGGTCCCCAGTACCAAAAAACAAACAAACAAACAAAAGACAGGACTTCTGGAACAACAACAACAAAAATGAAAATGCAAAAGAAAAGCTTAATGTGGCAATCCCTTAAGTTATAATTGAAGTTGACTTTATACTCAGAAGGGGCTCCCTCCTTGTTTCGCAGAGGTGTGAGGGAATGACTACCCTTAACAAGCTAGGAAGAACAGTGTGAACATGCAAGGAGCAAATGATCAGTAGAGGGAACCAGTCTACAAATATAAAAGAGGGAGAGGGTGCACTGTCCATTTGTATAATGGTAAGTCCTTATGGTGGCGAAGCACCACCAAAAGCTTTTAGGCAGATTTGTATTTAGAAAGATAACCTTGATCGTGGTATAGAGAATAGATTGTATATGAATATCAGAAGTTATAGCAAGGAGACCATTTGGGAGGTTCCTTTAAGGTGGGGAGGACTGGATTGATGCAGTAGCAGAAGTGGTAGAGAAAAACAGTGTAATGGTTTAGATATAGACTGAATGTATCCTCTAATGGTTCATATATTGAGAGTTTCGTTCTCAATTTGGTAATGCTGAGAGGTGGTGTGGAGCCTTTAAGGAGTTGAGCCTAGTGGAAAAAAATTAGGTCAGGGAGGGCACTGCCTTTGGAAGGAATTGATATAGTTCTTTGGGGACCTTGGCTAGTTCCAAGAGAGCACTATTACAAAACAGCAAGCCTGGCCCTTTTCCAGCCACATTGGCTTCCTGTCTTGCTATACTCTCTCCTTTACACACACACACACACACACACACACACACACACACACACGGCTGTGATACCATCTGCCATGAGGTTCTCAGTAGAGTCAATCCCATTTGCAAAATGGTTAGTCCTTAAGAGAGTGCTCTTGAATCCCCCAGAACTTGAGATAAATAAATTTCTTTTTTTTACAAAGTTACCTAGCCATTCAACATCATTGTAAAAATGGAAAATGAACCAATCCAAGTGGACAGGCAAGGAAAATACTAAATTAGTAAAAATGGATGGGAAACTGGTGATCAGATGGGGCCAGAGTCCAGAAATGGAAAGGAAGAGTTTCCACTGATGCTTAGATGCCTGCTCGGGAACCTGTATGAATGAGGCGGTAGCCAGTGAAGTAAAAGAATCAGAACAGCAGTTTGAAAAATGAGGCAGGTGGAAAATTTATTGTTTATTTTTTTCTGCAAGAGAATGATTTTTTCATTTGACTCATTGATAAATAAAAACATAAAAATTATGTGCATTAATGGCATGCCATGTGATACTTTATACATGTGTACATCGTGTGATCAAGTTAGACATACCTATCAACTCCAACACTTATTACCATTTATGTAAAAAGCATTCAAAATCCTTTCTTCTAGCTTTTTAAGGTATACAGTACAGAATAGATCTCTGTAGTCACCTTTCTAGGCAGTTGCATACCAGAACTTCTTCATCTTTTCTAACTGTAACTTAGTGCCCATTGATCAACCTTGCCCACAAATTTAATTTTTATGTTTATATTCAAAGTACAGATAGGGAAGTCATCTGGGACGAAAAGGACATCTCTTCCTCTGAAGCTGGGCAGGAAGAGGGTGAGAATACGAATATTTGTGAAAGATTCCCTAAATAATATTTTTAAATCTACCATCCTATTCTTAAGACCCCCAGTGAATAA